TGTTTGATGAGAATAAGATCAAACATAGATAAATAATATGAATAAATTGTGCAGATTAAATATACATATGCAGATACATTTGTATATAACTGAAGATTTTGATAGCAAATCTTAACTACGTCTTTCAGTAAGTTGATTATACAATTTATCAATTTCTAATGCATATTAACTGTTAGGCTGCAGCTACAGTGGCTTGCAAAAGTCTACACCCCTTTTGAAAATTTATATATTTTGTATAATCTAACAGGGAACAACACATTTTCTCAATTCCAATGATTGCTAAATAATAAGCAGATCCATCAAACTTTCCTTTGATATAAAAAATTACATTTTAAAAAATTTCATACTGATTCTTAAAATCATATAACTTAGAAAAATGTCTTTGCAAAAGTCTACACACCCCCCCATATATTATACTGTGTTATCACGTAGTTTATCATTAATGTATACAATCCAGAATAATCAAAAGTGACATGTTCGTTCTACCATAACAAACAAACAAGGCTAGTCTATTATTTTGCTATATAAGGTGATTTAACTACCTACAAAATCATCAACCGCATGGTTTCTTGGTATGTTAGTCTTTGGACTCTGACTGTAAACACAATGTGTCCAACTCTGGAAAGAAAATGGGCAAGCCTCTGTCTCAGGAACTTAAAAACCTTATCAAAAGTACAATGAAAATAATGGTTATAAAAAATTGCAAAAATTTTAGAATTGCCCCAAGCACTGTTAAAACTGTAGTTAAGAAGTGGTTAGTTCACAAAACCACTGCTACCCTACTAAGATCTGGGTGACCGAGCAAACTTACCAGAAGAGCAAAATCAAAACTGGTCCAGGAGGTAACCTGAAACACTGGAAGACTTGAAAGTGTTCAGTGTCCAGTACTGGGACAGATGTCCATGCATCTACAATTTCCAGAGTATTGCACCGGTCTGGCCTGCAAGGGAGGGTAGCTATAAAAAAGCCCCTTCTGAAGCCTATGCACAAGCAAGCTAGGCTAAACATTGCCAAAAGTCACATCAATGATTCCATGACCATGTGGCGAAAGATTTTGTGATCAGATGAGACCAAAGTCAAGATTTGGAAAAAATACGAAACGCTACGTTTGGCGGAAAAAAGGCACTGCTCACCAACCTCATTACACCGTCCCCACTTTAAGCATGGTGGTGGTTCGATCATGCTTTGGGACGGTTTTTCAGCTGCAGGGCCTGAAGAGATAGTAACCATTCATGGTGTCATGGACAGTGTCAAGTACTAAGAAATATTGGAGGTAAATCTGCTGAAGTCTGCTAGAGCTCTGTGCCTGGGTCGTAATTTCAAGTTTCAACAAGATAATGACCCCAAGCATGTGTCTAAAAGCACTAAAGCTTGGTTTGCTAGCAAGAAAATCAGTTTTGGAATGGCACAGTCTCCAGACATCAATCCTATAGAAAATCTAAAGCTGGCCGTGCAGCAACGTTCCCCATCCAATCTGACACGGCTCAAGAAGTTCTGCCATGAAGAATGGCAAAAACTGTCAGTAGACCACTGCAGCAAGCTCGAAGAAGGCTACCCAAGGCGTCTGCAGGCTGTAATTGACACAGCAAGATCATCCACAAAGTATTAGCTGAAGACATTCCAAAGCGGGTGTAGACTTTTGCAAAGACATTTTTCAAAATTGTCTTTGTTTAAGAATCAGTTTTAAATTTTTCAAATGTATTTTGTGTATTAAATAAAAGTGTGATAGATCTGCTTATTAAAACAAATTATTGGAGTTTAAAGTATTAATTGTTCCTATCAAAATAAACAAAATACATCCAGTTTTCAAAGGGGTGTAGACTTTTGCAATGCACTCTATATAAACAAAGGCTTCTATGCACTATTTTATCATCCAGTCATGATCATGGCCGTCCACATCATGTTAAGCAAAAAATATCAAAAGTATCTAATTTTTATTATCAAAGAAGAGCATATTCTTTGTCCATCACAAAGTCTGTATATGTATATGTGTTGTACATGAGTGACTTACATGTACTTGTGTCATTTAATGTATACATACACAATTTGACTAAATTTAAATAATGCATTCACTCTTCCGGCTCGGTCTGGACAAACCCTGCCCTGTGCAGAGCAATAAAATCAAAGTTGCAAACAAAAAAAAATAATTCAAAAAATAAAATCAGACATTTATAAAGTTTTATTCAACTCTTCAGAAATTAATAATAAATAGAATAATTTCAAGGGTTTTTTTTCTTTAATTTTTTAGAATATTTTTAGGTCTTGAATTAAAATATACATTAACACACAATTTGAATGAAACTGAAATGGCCATCCGTTTCACAACAACTAATTTTCCTTTCTGTCTCGCAACAACCTCTGGGTAACAGGAAAAGTGTATAAAACACTTTGAAGTAATTTTCAACTCCTGTATTTAAACTGAATATATATTTTTAATAAATGAATTTTAAATCTGAAATTTGATCGTCCAACAGGTACCAAACTAATGAAGCCATAAATTCTACAAAGTTGTATAAAATAATTGTACATTTCATAATTAATTCATAGGTTCATTTATACTCATTAAATAATATTTTTTTAAAACAATCTATCGGGAAGATTCTAACAAAAGAATACTGAACTAATCTAGCAGATCATTATGTTTTCTGCCATTAGACAAAGCTTAGTAAATACCTATAAGTGTGTTATGTTAAACAAGGAAAGCACTTTCCTCATTTGTTACATAAAGATTTAAAGTTTATTCAGATTGATTCATTTTCTATGGCTCATGAACACGTTGCAGATTTAATGCCAGAAAATATTTTTAGATTATCAGAAATTTTTATTTTATTTGAGATAATAATGAGCAGAATAGAAACATCTTATAAACAATGTGTGTGAACAAATACAAAAAAAAAAAATAGATAAAAAAAGTAGCAAACAATATTTTATCTCTAATAGTTTTTTATGCAAAACAAAAAATATAAGAAAAATTAAGTAAAGAAACTTAACTGCAGTACCTTGTCAGTTGTTTTTAACAAAACTTGTACAAGAGGGATTTCTGCTCAAATAATATATATATATATATATATATATATATATATATTCCATTCAAGTTTAAGAATCTTTCATAAGCCATTAATAAAAAGGGCCATTTTGCTCTAATTTGCTTTCAGCCAAAATACATGAAATTCTTAAGTGATCTGAAAACTTTTTTTTTTTTTTTTTTTAAATATTGGTGAGCAAACAGATTGACAATGTTTTAACATTTATTTAAAACTAGTTTAAAACTTAAAGATTTTTTTCTATGAAACTTTATATAACAAATGAATCAACAAGATGCTTTAGGAGAAATTCTTACCAATTTGTGTACAGATGGCATGATAGGCAACAGGTAAGGGTTCGCCAAACACTGCTCCCCGAAGTTTCTCTAGTGGCAGAGCCTTGTTCATTAACCCCCCAAATTTACCATTACTCCGAATACGATCACCATCTCTGGTCAAGATGGTTGGGCAGTGGGCAAATTTCACAATCTGGAAATGAAGAACAGCAGGATTTCAGCATTAACACATTTTGCATCTGTTTACATATGGCATTCATTTGTTTATATGAAGGAAAATCATTGATTTAGGTGATTAGGATGATTCTTGGGTTCACTTGGTCAAATATAGAAAGGTTTAGATGATAAAAAGTTGGTGTTATGGAATTAAAAATTCACCTTCCAAACAAACATTCTTTTTGGGGCCTTGTTACACATAGCAACTGAGTGGCAGCCTGGCAAAAGTATATCTGCCATGAAAGTGCAAATGAAATCAGAGTGAGTTTTCCAGAAAGGAAAAAAAAATTCACTGATATTCTTCTACACTTGCTGGACAAAAAATGAAACTTGCTCTATCTAATGGTGTTATTGGGCTCCTTGTGGTGATAAATGGAAAGTATTAATTTGGGAATATCACCCACAATTTTTTTTATTAGAGGCAATGAAAAAATTAAAAACAAAAATTAACAATTCCATTCGGTTAGAGTTCAGGCTGTGGATTGGGTCCAGGAACCTGTGGGTGTGTATTTTCATTAGCAAAAAAAATATCCAAATAAAACAATGGATAACTTTTGTCTGGATTTTTAGAAACATTCAAAAACAAAACATTTAAAAATCTTGCTACCCAACAAAAAAGAATTTTGCCAAATATATACCTCAAGTTATTTCAGAATAACATTTAATATATTGCTTTCCAAACAGAAGCAATAGTAAATGTATAAAATCTTGTCAAGATTCTAAAAAACATTGTAGTCTTAAATAATCAAACCTGGAAGTGGCTTCTGAAAAAGTATACATCAGAAACCATGTTTGAATTGAATTTCAATTCAGCTAATTCAAAATTAGCTTTGAGTTTATATATTGTATATACATTGAAGTGAGTATATATAACAAAACATGTATAGATATTTTATACATGATTGTCGAACTGTTACAAATGATGTCACTTTGAACAGATCCCAACTAATTCCAGCAATCTAAAAACATCAGAATTTAATCAAACAAGTATTGCTTAACATTCATACTTGATAATGACTATGATTGGCAAAAATACTGGGGGGGTGAACTTTAGACAATTTATATCTTCAAACCCAATGTACATTTCATTTGGAAATTGGAAAGATAATAAAGTCGAATGGACAAACCATGTTGGTAAGATTTAGTAAAAATTGTTTGGATATATGTTAAATCAGAGATAGTCAGCCCTAAGATTCATTTAAATTAGTCTAAACATGGAGGCCAGATATAGAACCAAGAATTTCACATCAAAGTCAAAGTGCATTTGAATTTTTTGCAGGAAACTTACTTCTTGTCTGTAGGCATTTGCATGATCTAAAGAATCAAGGAACATAGTATCTCCTAAAAGCATTCCAAACACTGCAAACAGAAATTTAACATCATTAATGAACGAGAAACATCATTTTCTCAGGCCAATGTAGTTACCAAATATTATATGAATCTTTAGTGCTA